AGAGATTAGGTTGAGCAGCACTGACTTATTAGAGATCCTCATAAAGGTAGTGCCAAGTTAGACCGACGGCGCTGGCAAAGACCACAGGTTCTGTTTATCTGAACTTGGAGAACAGCAACTTCATGATCTAAATCTGTAAGAAGAGAGCCACTTGTGATGGAACGTAGCGGGAGAGACCGGAGCGAGTCGAGGAGCTTGAGGTGCTTGAGACAAGCACTGACAGGTTTCCAAAATGGAAAACGATGCTGGGGGTTGAAGTTATTCGCGGATCGAAGCCCCGGGTGGAGATGGCCGGAGTGGGCCCGGTCGGGCGCTCCCTGGTGCAAAAACACCGTGCTGCCCTTTTGCTTACCTAAAGCGTGGATGACTCAGCTATTTCCTTGGTGCAATTCCCAGAAATTCCCCTGACAGACATGCATCGCACCGCGCCGCACCGCCTGCAACTCTTTTGTCTTAGATTCCACACTGCCGCGGCCGAACAGGCCTACATCCGCGGTCTCCCTGCCCGTCGTGCTGTAGCACAATGCACCGTAGCGATCCCATCTATTGCCTGTCGTAGAAGAGGTATGTTGAACTTCGGGTGACCGAGCGCACGGCTATCACGGCAGCGTCGGTAACTCTTTCGAGAAAGCTTAAACACGTTCCGTGGGCCTCACTCAGCAAGGATCGTCCCTTCGCACGCAAGACGCTGGAGGTCGCCTTGAGTTGGAGGCTTTTTTTTGGTTTGGGCCTTTTCCTGCGCTGAACGTCGGTCTTCAGCCACGGCCGATGTCGAGACCATGACCGCCACCGTTAATCAGTCGCTTGATGAATGGCGTGTTCGTACGGAAGGTAATAAGGCACTAGCTGACACGGCGAGTTCTCGCCTTGATGAAATGAACTGCTATATTTGGTGTTTACTATACGCGGAAGGCGGACAACAGGACGGAGCCTAGCATTAAGGGCCGCCAGCGTCGTTGACTCCGAACGACATGCAGAGTTGCGAAACCTATTCGATGATAGGCACGGAGAATATCGGAGGGAAATTACGGGTTTCCTTGGCTATTCAAACATATTGTCTTGGTCTAGCGGTCTATTTACAGACCTTGAAAACCCCACTCCGGGAGGCAAAGGTGGTGTTGCGATAGGCGCCGGCCATCCTCAACGTCTCTCTTACAACAATTCTTCTCAACCTTCATGATGAGGCCTCACCATGGTAAATCGCAACTTCCAATGCCTTGAGCGATTGGACTATTTTGCTTATACACGTCGCATCCCCACGGAGTTTCTGGCTTCGCCCGCGTTTCCACCTAGCCCAGCCGTCGTATCGCAACCCACTCGAAACCCACCAAGACCTTGGCTGCTCTCTGGTGAGCAAAGTCGCTATATATACTCATTCTCGACAGAGATGCAGCATCCGTACTCGGAGTTCCGAGTTATCGGGGGACGACATCACCAAGGTTGGACTGGCAAGATCTCTCGAGAGTTTTCACGAACGACATGAGCTACAAACGAGATGCCTGTCACTCATTCCGATAAACCATCACGTGACGGTTTCTCAACTCTTGAGAATAGGCCGCCCCGAGATCCAAGTGAGGCCAGGATCACATCACTATGCCTTACCCAACAAGCAATGAACAACGCATCGCCCCCTCTCTGCTATGAAACGCCTTCTCTCTAGCCACACTATCCGCTGCTTGGATCCTTGTTCGTTCAAGGTAAGCTCGTTTAATCAGCCATGATCCATCGCCTTGAATGAGTGAATGCCTAGGAACAAAAGTCCAATTGCTGGGCCGGTGCCACAATCCATGGCACTGCGCCACACCCTCAATATCTGAAAACACGTCATCCGCCCCCTTCCTCGCCCACGCCGCAGCTCGTGTTGCGCGTTCCCTTCCAGGCCGTTGAAAGACTGGAAAGTGTGTTCGCCTTCTTCATGGGGAGGCGCAATATTAAGGTTCAGAGACAGATCAGTGATGCGCGCCTATTTTGTCAAGTGAACCCAAAGAACTCTCTTCCTTCTCTCTTCATGCTTGTGTGAACCTCTAAGAATTCTCGAAAACTTGGAAAAGATCTTCTCTGAAACACGTTGCATCTGCATCGCCAAGAAAGAGAACATCGTCTTCTCACCAAAGATGGACACCACACAGGAAAGGGAACGTCACACGACGAGCTCCATTGCGGAGCAAGAGCTCTTCTTTTCCTCATCGCCATCGGGCCAAGGCCAGCCTCAGTCTGGGCGGCAGCAACAGCAGCAACCTCAGCATCGATGGTATGATAACGCCCAAGACGACTCACCCGTCGAACCGAGGAGCGGGGTTCCGGCTGTGAACATCATTCCTGCCACGCCCTCTACCCTTCGTTCAAACAGCGTGCGCTCGAATCTGTCTTGGCGGGATAGGGATGCCGAGAGGCAGGCGGCAGCGGCCGGGGCGCTTCCGGAGGTTGAGGAGGAAGACAACATTTACGATCCGCCAAGCACTCATAGACCAGCAACACCGCCTCACGAGTCCAAGGTGTCGACTCACCACACGGCGTCTACTTTTGATTCGCCGACTCAAACTAAGGTGGATGAGGATTATCATGTGTCGCCCATGACCGAGCCCGCTGTATTACACCACGACACGGGATTCTCTCATGCAGACTCAGTTGATACTGCGGAGGCCGAACGGTATTACGATGCAACGTACTCCCCTCAAACTGAGTACCCTTCTTCATTCGATAAGGGCAAAGCCGTTGAGACGCATCCGGAGCCTGCGGTGCTGTACCACAACACCGATCACTCGAACGCCAATGGGCGCCCTTCATCGATCGACAAGGGCAAAGTCGCAGAAGCGCTCCCAGATTTTGAAGACCGGCCGCCGGTCCCGAATCCAAGACCAGTGTCAGAAGTCCCCGACTTTTATGCTCAAGAGCACGGCGGTTACGGTAGAGATCCGGCAGCCCAAGAGCAAGAAGATCGTGACTACGCAATGGCCCTGGCACTTCAGGAAGAGGAAGAAGGCCAGTCACCACCCCTTCCACAACGACACACCCAGCCGGCTTGGAGCACCAACGGGCCGCTCTCCTCCAACCCCTTCTCATCGCCCGAAGACCAGGACCGCGCTCTCGCAGAGCGTCTCCAGGAAGAAGAAGAAAACGGACCCCCGCCCCCCTTACCAGCTCGCCCTCACCCCAAAGCCGTGGCAGAGCTGCTCTCCCAGAGCCAGGAACCGCCGCCGTTCTCAAGGACACCCTCCATAGAAGGCATCATGCCGCCCCCAAAGCGCCAAGGCTCCGACTTTGGCAACGACGACCCTTCAAACCCAATCCACTACAGCCGAGACCCCCACAAGCTCATCACCTACCTCGTACCCTTCCCCAAGCCCTGGCTGGGCTCCAAAGCGCCCTCTGATGCCATCCCTACCCGCTTTCTCATCTACACGCCCCCACCTCCGCCTCTTCAGGCGCCGCCTGAGGGCGTGAAGGAGGGCGTAGCTCACAAGGTGCAGCGCAAGTGGCAGACGGAGGTGCGGCAGGCGAAGATGAGCGACGCAAAGACGACCAGCTGGGCGGGATTCAAGGCAAAGTGTACGCGCGGGGTGGATAAGGCTATGCAGTACACCACCACGAGTAATTTGGATTACCTGGCGCGCGTTACGCCTCCGGCGAGGCCGCCGTCGGCGATATCGCGCAAGCTTTCGCTGAAGGGGAGGATGAAGAAGGACAAGAAGGACAAGGGCGCTTCGGGGGATGAGAAAGAGACAAAGAAGAGCCTTGACGAGAAGAAGCGTGAGAGCACTGATGTCAAGGACGACGACGCGGAGAATCTCCTTCACGGTGAGGAGAAGAAGTCCTCCGAGGACAAGGATCTCGATGAGAGGACGAGGAACGAGAAGTCGGCCGAGGAGAAGGGTGATAGGGAAGAAGAGGATTACTTCAAGTCGCAGCAGCAGCAGCAGGCCGACAAGGACGAGCAAGACGAGCTCATGGAAGACGACCCAGCCCACACCTCTCACGAGACGAAGAAGACGGTCGGCGTCGAGGAAATTGTCTTTGTCTACTCGCCGTCGATGAACATGACGCCCGAGGCGATGAGGGAGGAATTCGTCAATTCCATGCTGCGGACAAAGTCCAAGGCGCAGCGCGACGCCATCATCGCGACTGGTCTACTTCCTGTCTCGCTGGCCATTGACTTGGTTATGATTGCTGTCTCTGGGCTCTTTGAAGTCAACGGTAAGTCTTCCTCTCTACTCAAACATCCATGCCTGATGTGGTCTACTTACTGACTCATTACAGCCGTGTGGGCATACTTCACCATCAAGGGCTCCAAGACGGCGCGTTCCGTCACCAAGCGCATCGCCTCCACATCCAAGAAGCCCGAGTCCATCGACCCGGAAAAGTCAGAGGCCGAGCTGGCCAAGGAGGACAAGCTCCAGCTCAGCTTCAAGCCGGCGAATCGCATTGACGTGCTGACGCGGTACTTGGAGGCCGAGTGTCATCGTGTCGACTCGAGACTGTTTCCCAGATACACCTCTTCGCCCACAGAAGTGTAGGTTCTTCCTCCCCCTCCTCAACTCACCTATCTCAGTCTGTCGGCCAAAGTAAAGCTGACACATGAAATCAGGGAATGCTTGGAAGCTATTGGTTGGTCCCCTGCCATGACCCGCGGCCAGAAGAACTGGGAAGATGAGGCTTGGGAGGTGAACGATGTGAAGGAGGATTTGAGGGTCGTGATGCACAAGGCTGCAAAGGAGTGGCGGAAATGGTGTAACCGGTATGAGAAGAATCCGGAGAAGAGCTTGACTAAGTGAGAGCTGCTTGTGATTAGAAGCGCTACATGATTTAAGCGAATACATGACGTGTCTATTTTAATAGCAAAAAATGCATTATTGAGTGTATGGTTTCGCGCAATACTTTTCTCAACTTCTACGTCTTGTATAAATGATTTTGGGGGGGGGGGGGGTTGGTTGGTTGTCCTCTGGCAGTTGTCTGACGGCCTTGAAACTCTCACGCAATTAACATGTCTCTATCTAGGCACCTCAAGCAGAATCATGAGCAGGCCTGCTAGTCTTGGCTCCACGAACCAGCTCCGGTCCGCCTTCAGAGTCGACAAACTTGACCTCCAGAGTTCGAGCCTGGGCAGCGATACGAGAGCTGTCGCTTGCCTCCCTCAAGAATGCCCTAGACTCCACATCGAGGCCGTGGGCTAGCGTCGCCAGCGAGCTCCCCCTCCAAGCTGGAAGGCTCAGTTTTCGCGTCTCCCGTATCGAAAGCAGGCAGAAGATGCAACCTCCTAATAAGGAGCCCATGGGCAGTGACAAGAATGCCCAGTTCACCCTGATCTTGATCACCCATTGCTTTGTTATTCCGTGATGTGGGCTACTTTCGAGAGAACGGTTTCGGATCCATTTCGTCAGGCTGGCAGCGACCATTTCGAATGTTCTTGAGATGTTCTGCGAAGCTGCCAGGCTACTGATGATCTCGGTTGGCGTGTTGCTGGTGCGCATGCAAAGAGGTAAGGGGTATTTGAGCAGCGTTGGCATTCCGGGCTTGTCCAAAGATGCGGAGTCGCTATGACCCGATAATCTCACTGCCAGCCAGTCTATGAGGCTTCCAACGGTGTTGTTTGAGATGTTGAACCGTAAATCGTCGTCTATTATCAAGCCAGTGTCGGCGTAGTATTCCTCCCGGGAAATCACAAGTTGTAGATCTGAACGGGGTGCATCAGAGAAGCCGATGTAGAGTGAATGGTTGATAAATGTGTTGAAATATTTCGTCGCAGCCAAGTTGTTCGTTAACCAGTTTGATAAGAAAGAGTCCGGGTTTCTTGTAGAGCGGGAACTGAGAACCTTCTCCTTGAGCACGTTTTGTTCAACGACGGACTGGTAGACATTGGTGCAGAAATGCAGGGCGCATTCTGTGGCGGTGATATCCGTGTCTTCCCAAGCTTGCTTCCGCTTGCGATAGTCCTGACTGGCTGACATGACAGCGACGGAAAAGATCATAGACTCTAAATGTCCAAACGACAATGTCCGCCCAGGGTTGTAATTCGACCGCGCAGTAACTTCGGCGTTTCCGAATCCAATGTCAATTTCATTCCCATCGGCTTTGATCCCATTGAAATTTGATATACTCAGATCCAAGGTTGGAATCTCGAGCCTGGTGTATGTGCGGAGTTTCTTGTCGGGGAATTCCAGGCGGTCTGGCAGGGTGATAAGTTCGTCGTTTATCGTTGCTCGTCCGTTGGACTTCTCCATCGCAGATGAGATGTCTTTGCAAGTACTACACACCGCGAGCGATGCGAAGGGGTCCCAGGTACAATTGCCAGTTGAACACTCGAAGTCGGGTTTTGTACTCTCGGTTGAGCTGAGTTCAGAGAAGCCTCCCAGTACCGCTGCCATTGCACCAAAGTCGTTCTCAGATCTCATAGAAGTCATACTGAAGTTACCCCAAGGCTCTGGCATTTTATAGTCTTTCGGAGTCCATCGGTCAAATGCCGCAAAGACACCTGCGTCCAGCCTTTCAGCTTTTCCGATCGCGCTTGTCACTGATGGAGTTGCATAGCTGATTTCTTCTCCCGAGAAGCTGATGACAGCTTGCAGGAATGGCTCGTAACCTACTAATATGACTGCCGAGAGGGCTCCAATAGCGATCCAATGTCTAAAGAGTTCCATGAGCTAAGAACCACCACAAAAAGTAGCATCGTTCGTACCTGAGTCTGGTCCACCACAACAAGCGAACACTTCCCCAGGGCCCGCGGCTGGCTTCTTCGAACCGGTCAAAGACCATCACATGGTCATCCCTTTTTCGGTACCAGTTCCACTTTCCCTGGCTGATACAAGCACTAATAGCGAAGCCTAATGAAGCTCGGGACGTTGCTCCGAGAGTGGATATGACAGTATTGAGCGATATTGAAAAGGTCCAGGATGACAAAGGCTTGTCTTCGTAGAGGGGAAGAAGGATAAGGATTGCGGCAAATGATACGATACTGAGAGCGATTGCCCACAGTTCTAGTGTCCAGTGATATTCGCCAGCTGGGAAGAGCCGGGTAGTCCATTCATCGATGGGTTTCGGCTTGGCGCATGTGTCCTTCGAGGCTGGCGTAGTGTCTTGAGTTGACCTTGACTCCGAGTTGGCTACCAGACTGTATAGGGGAGCCGCTTCTCTCGGCTCCTGTCCGGGCTCGGGAGATTGCCCGCGGCTGGGAGCTCGGCTTGTATCTTGTGACGGGGAAGAAGCTTGACAGGAAGAGTTGAGTGAAACATCGACGGACTGTGTCTGTGGTACCGAAAGATCTTCCGCCGGACCATCTCGAGATGGAATCTGAGCTGATGACATCTTTTCGTTGCATCAAGGCGCTGTATGCGTTATAACGACAGATGAGATGAGATATCGACAAGGACTGCAGTATTATAACTGCCTCTTCCTAGCCGTTTGCCCGTATAATGTCGTCCATCAGGTTGGCCTGCCTTATATACTAACGAATGTTGAGGTCTCAGGCTTCGAGGTCTTAGACTTCGAGATCTCACCATTTCAGTGTTCACCTCGATCGCCCCCTTGCATCACATCACCTAGCACCAGCCACTTGGATTACGCAAGCTACGCAATTACTAAGACCAGTTAAGATATCGCAACCGACGTTGCGTGGCAACGTAGGTTGCCTTGTCTCGTACACAAGGCAAACTTGTGTTTCCTTTCCACTTCACGGATGAGGCGATAGCCAAGCATTCGTAAATACAGCATACACAAACTTTCCTATTCCGCTTGAGTGTCTCATGTCAATTTCTTTCGTGAGATGCCCAGAAAGTTTGGCTGTCGTTTTTTCTCTGGTTCAGCAGCTAGATCTCAAATACAGGTGAAACTCAGATGCAACGGCAACACGTCGTTCAACCTTCAGCCTTGGGCTTATGGTCCCTTTTTGAGTACTTGACTACTACCCAGTGATTCAAATTCGTAGAAGTACGCAAGACAGGTAAACATGGTTGCCTTATGCTTGGCTCGTGGACAGAATAGTGGAAGATCAGACGACATCATCTAGTCTCGGCAGACCACCATTTTCGGCCCGGCTCCGAACAGCATCCCCCGCCTCCGGGCCACCGTTTGCCGGCAAAAACAAAACAAAGTCTCTTCTCAAGGTTTTCTAAGAATCTAAGTTGTTTGCTTCTTCCCCATCTCCACCATCCCCCATGATTGAATGCGGGGTAAACCCATGCCTAGAGCTTTCTCCAAGACTCCACCAGTTCAAGCGGCCCAATGCCGTCACCTGGAGCACCTCGGGGAAGATATTTCCATGGGGGGAATCCTGGCCTTGACCGGCCCCAAACCTTGGTTGAAATAGCTTCGGTAAAAAGCCCACCGCCCCTTCGCCCAGCACCAACCCAAACGTAGCTTGGAAGCCGATGTTGGTCCACGATCGAATCGGGGTCGAATGACGATGCTCATTAGACACGAGGAAAATAACGGTGCGGGGGATGCGGAGCCGAACAAAGCCATTGCCCAATGGTTCCAACTTCCGGGCCATCCATAGATGGCCCCAGCCAGCATCTCCGATGGATGTTACGTCTTTTTAAGAGAGAGGCCGTCCTCCTCTTCTTCGCCAGTGTGACCTTCTTCTTCCTCATTGCAGCTTTGTCTCTCACGTAGGTCTTTACGCGAGTCTCTGTTTCCGCAATGAAGGGTCTTGCCATCGCCTTTGCGGCGCTTGTGTCGTCGACATGCGCGCAGTACATGAAGACTCCCGCCTCGACTCGTTATGGCTCTCACAAGGCCGTCCCGAGACAGGCCGGCAACCAGACTAGCAACTCATGGCCCTACGCTCCCTTCAGCACTCGCGGACGTGATATCGTCAATGCCCGCGGTGAGGTTGTGACTTGGGCTGGTGTCAACTGGCCGATGAGTGGTACGTTCAACGTCTAGGGCAGGCATACAAGAGCACCTGACTAACAAACAATGAAGGAGAGACCATGGTTCCTGAGGGTCTGGAATGGGCCTCGGTTGATCAAATCCTCGACGATGTCGAGAGTGTTGGCTTCAACTACATCCGCATGTAAGTGCACTTAATTCTTGCACGCGTGTAATGCATCGCAAACCTTGGACACACACCAGCTTACACTCTTCTTAGGGGCTACGCCATCGAGATGGTCGACCAAATCTACGACCGCGCCGGCGAGGACGTCCCCCTCGAAGTTGCCATGATCACGGCCCTCGGCTTCGTCAACGGCACAAAGGTCACCAACGAAATCATCCGCAACAACCCGACCTGGACCCGCGAGACGACCCGCTTCGAAATCTGGTCCGCCATCGTCGAGGCCGCCTACGAGCGCGGCATCTTCATCTCCCCCGACGTGCACGTCGGCAAGGCCCAGTGGTGCTGCTCCCACACGGACGGCAACGCCTGGTTCGACGACGTCAACTTCAACACCACCCACTGGCGCCGCGGCCTCTCCTACGTCGCCAACTGGGCAAAGTCCCACCCCAACATCGTCTCCCTCTCCCTCCGCAACGAGGTCCGCGAGTCGTGGAACGTGACGAACCTGTACTACAACTGGGACACCCTCGTCGGCAACTTCTCCGCCGGCGCCGACGCCATCCACGAGGCCAACCCGGACGTCCTCATCCTCTGGGGCGGCATGCAGTACGGCCAGGACCTGTCTGCCCTCACCTCGGGCAAGAACTACCTCACGGCGCCGTGCTACAAGTGCACCGCCATCCGCGACGCCGCCCGCCGCGAGCCAAAGGTGTTTGATCTCGACAGCCACGCCTGGGCGGACAAGCTCGTCTGGGAGCTGCACCTGTACAAGATGAGCGAGGATGTCGACACGGGATCGTGCCCAATCATCGAGGCGGGTCTCTACCGCAACGGCTTCAACGCGTTGGGTATTGACAAGCCTGCGGCTTGCAACGTTACGAACGACTGCCCCAAGGCGAGCCGGTTGACGCCTGTCATCTTCTCGGAATTTGGCAACGGCCAGGACGACACGCTTCGCAACGATACCCTTCAGGTGTGTCTGAGGGAGTACACCGTCAAGCACAACGTTAGCTGGATGGTCTGGGGTCTTGCTGGTAGCTACCGTGTGCGCTCCGGCGGGCAGGGTGTGCCCGATACGTGGGGTTTGACCAACTATGAGTGGAACGGTTGGAACTCTCCCGAGACCATCGAGGATATTTGGAAGCCTTGGGTGAAGGCTATGAACCCGACTAGAAAGTCATGAGGCACGGCTTTAGAGTCCAAGTAGACTTTGATCTGAATTATAATGTGATCACATTGCCATTCCATAACCCCCATTGTATGGTTTACTTTGAGTGACATAATCCAGTCTCACTTCTAGCCCAGAAGCCACAACGTTTCGACAAACACAGCCTCTCAGTGTACCAGCCTAGACTCTGCAAAGCTGCCCGTCACTCCTCTGCTTCCATCCCTCGTTCCCGACACAGGGCTGGCACCAGAAAACGTCGTCTGGATCGACGGTCTTCTTGATCTTGAGAAGGCGCTCGTAGTTAGTGCCCCAAAAGGTATGTTGCCAGTCTTCCTCATACGACAGACCCTGTGACACATTAATGAGGATCCCAAGACTACTCGTTTCGAACGTTATGCTTGGCTTACCTCATTCAAGTAGGATCCTCCACCAGGCCTCAACTGTCGAAAGCCTTTACCTGAATCGTAAACGCTCTTCTCGGCTTCACTCTTGGACGTCTCATTGAACGAAGTCCATCCAACAGCAGTGACTATGGAAAACAATGATTAGCTCGGGCAACTCCTCTTACAGTAATGAACATAACTTACTGGCAAGGATGTAGGCAGTCCTCCATGCCGGGTGAACCGCATCACCTCCGCCCCTGGGCTTCGCGTTGTGCACACCCTTCCCGGATACCAAAAACGCATACATGCCGCCCACATTATCAGTCGCCGTCTTCACTGCACCAGCCAAAACCTCCAAATCCTCCGTCAAAGCCTCCTCATCCAGCAAACGGGAAGCCAGCAGTTTGTTGATACCGCCCTTGTTCATGTCATAATTCTTATCATAAAAGTCAAGCCAGGACGGATACTCGGTGGTAATCTTGGCAAAGGTGACATTGGGCCAGCGCTCCATGACGGTCTGGTTGATTGACGTCCAGATCCTGTTCACTTCTTCCCGGTCCGTGTCATCCTGCATCAGGGATATGCCAATGACGCCCGCCGCGTTCGGCGGGAGGCCCGGGGAGCTGACAGGGTTCGGCATGTGCGAATTGATCAGGGCGTAGCCTGCGAGGCCCGCCTTCTCGAGGGAAGGGACGTTTGAGAGGAAGTAGGCGGCCAGGTCTGGAATGATGGGTGACCTGAGCTCGGTGAGCATCGCCCATGCCGTGTGGGTGATTGGGGGGGACGGGTGTGTTGCGAAGGTGATTGAGGTGAGAACCCCAAACGTTGATCCTCCTCCCTATGTAAGTCAGTACTAAAGGTAAGGTCTCAAAAATGAAGGATATTTACACCGCGCATAGCCCAAAACAGGTCAGCGTTCTGAGCCTCGTTGAGAGTCAAGATCTCGCCGAGGGGCGTGACGACTTCCATCTGCAAGACATTATCCGCCGCCAGACCGAAACGCGGCGCGAGCAGCGAGTGGCCGCCTCCGGTAGCATACCCCCCGACGCTCACCGTCTTAGCGGTACCGCCGACAATGGCTTGACCGTGTTCGGCAGTGGCTTTGTAGAGGTCATACATCTCGGTGCCGCCTCCGGCAGTTACTGCACTTCCTGGTATGGTGATATCGCTCCCTGAGAGCTTGAAATCATCCGCATGATACTCGATGCCCGTCAAATGGTGCACCCAGATAGAGAGCGAGCCAGGGGCAATCGATCTACCTAGGTAATCATGCCCGGTGCTTTTCACAATGAGCCTCACATTATTCTTCCTCGCTAAAAACCCAAGTCAACACTCATACACCAAGCACACACACGGGACGGATGCAGATATAAAAACGCAATATACCAAAATCGATACCAATCTTGACATGCTCCGGCGTGGTAGCATTCACGACGTACGCAGGGTATCCGTCACCGCTGCACAGATAAGCCGGTTCAGGAAGGCAGGAGTCATTAGCGAAGTTGCTCCAGACGACGGAGACGGGGTCGTCGACGTGGAGCTCGTACGAATTCCACTGGGCCTCGACGTCGGCGCAGGCGGTCTCGTTGTAGGCGTCCTGTCCGGGATGGCAGACAGCTCCCGGAGGAGACGGGCGGAGAAGTCGTCCGCCTCCGAGGGACTCGCCGAGGCGGGCCCATTCTGCTGCGGAGGGCCAGTCAGCGGTGCCCGGGTAGGATTTGCATGTTGGTGTGTAGGAGGAGTCTTGGGCTGGGATGAGGGATTCGTGGGACACGATCCCAAAGAAGAGATATCTTGCGATGTGCGGCAACATAGTTTTTCAAGTGACGAGACTGAGACTCTTAGGATTTGAAGCTCCGGGGCTACGGTCTTACCTGAACAGAATCATGATTTGGAGGCCGAGGCATCGTGAGTTTATAAAGTGTCGCGATCGTCGAAGGAAGCCTGGAGTGGACGATGTTTGTGCAGCAAACAAGTCTGCCGAAGCGGCACGGAATGGACTGGGGTTGAGACAACGAAATTGCAACGGGGCGTCGTGAGGCGTCGTCTCTAAAGGGCAGTTGCCCGAGATGAACTCTCGTTGGTTGCGAGATGTCAGGCAATGATGTTGCCAATCGAGAAATCCTTTTCGCGAGGATCAAGCATCCCACTGCATCTCGGTTATCTTTCAGCTCCTGCAAGACGGCAAGCAAAATCCTAACCACGTTGTATCGGGGCGCTAGTGAGACCGTGATGAAGGGTGAGATTCATCTAGCCGCTACAGCTCGTCAACGGGTTACCGTATGTTACGTGTCAGACTCGGCTGTGGCTTGGCCGGGCGTTGGCCAACCCGAAACATGCGAGCGGTGAGCCATCATCGTGTGTTCTGTAGTCATGTTTCATTCTAGACAAGAGCCTCACAAGGTATCCTCATCAGTCATCAGCCTATCTTGTCTCATAGTCTATACAATGGAGATACTACATCACGTCAGCGGCCGAAGAGTAGGTACTGTTTGGCACCGCAATACACAACCAGGACTGGATTTTGTCTTGTTACATGAAGGACTATGTGACGTACTTAAAGGATAAAAGACTCTGGAAGGATAAACGCCCTTGGCAAGCTTGATTGGGCCTTTCATGGTTCCAACATCGACAAACTGCATGCAAACACACTATGGGCGACTTGAATCATGTCGGCAGTTGGAACTCTCCAAGACCTCAACCGCCTCTTTGGTACAATGGTTAAGGTGCGTTAGGACACTATGAATATTGTGCAACTCGAGTTTCGCACACCCAAAGCTCGCCAAAAGACTCTTCATCGACCGCGTAC